CCGCCGCCGCCCCGGGGCCACGCTCCCTTGGCCGCCGCCGCCGCCCCGGGTCCGCTAGGCTCCCCAGCGCGGGAACCACCGCAGCCCGAGGAGGGGCAACAGCTGCGGATCAGCCAGAGCGGCCAGTTCAGCGACGGGCTGGAGGATCGAGGTGAGCGCGCGCCGCCGGGCGCTTTCCCCGGCCGGATCGGCGCGGTCAGGAGCCGCCTCTACCCACTCCGGGTGGGCCGGGCGCGAGGTGCGCGGGGACGCGGAGCTGGGACTTCCCAGCGGAGGCGCGGAGATCCGAGAGCGGCCAGCGCTGCTTCGGCGGCCACTCCTTCCTCGGAATCCGAGAGCCGGCTGCCTCCCGAGGAAGCGCGTAGGGGCCCGCGCCTACCTCTCTGGCGTCCACTGGAAAAGTTTGCGGGAGGCGGTTTTTTGCCTTTGAGGACGAGCGCTCCCCGGGGACTGTGAGCCCCGCTCAGCTCGAGGGGACCCGAGTTCGTTGGATCCTCTTTCCCGCGCCCCCTCCGATCTCCACCGGCTCCCCGGAGAACTTCCCTCTGTGTGTTTAGCCTCTGGGGGGTCCCTGGTGGCCGCCGGGCTGCCCCCAACTCATTTAGAGGGCACCTAGTTTCCCGTGGGTCACTCCCTGCTGTCTGGTGATGCGTGCAGAGGATTGGTACACTTGGGTTTGGACCACCAACATCATCTGGATGAATGCCACTGAAACCTGGTGGTTCCCGGAGCGCACGTCCCCACCCCCTGCAAATCGTTTCCAAGACACTGGTCTGGAACCTCGCAAATCTCCCTTTCCTGGGAGGCCAAACCCTGCCTTCCTACCGACATCGATGTCCGCTTTGAGTTGCCCTCATGAAACGAGAGAGAGAGAGACTCCCTGTTCATTCCCGTGTCTCTCCTCTCCCCCTACATCCCTCTTTCCTCTCTTCCTCGGTTCCTTTCGGCTCGGAGCCCTGTTCTTGGCCACGTCTATACCTTTTCTGCTTCTTGCTGAATCCAAATCGGGCCCCTCGGAAAGACTCTGGTTTTGTTAAAACCAGTTAGTGGCCGAAGCGGGATTCTTGCAGCCAGGCCCTTCCGGGGGAGCCGGCTCATCGCCATCTCCACCCCCTTTTCTTGGAAGACTTATTTTTTGTTGGCTGTGGCGGATTTTTATATTTTAGTCTTAACAGGTTTCTGTCCTATTCTTAGTATCTCCTGTACATTTTTATTCCGGTTTAGTGTGCGGATGCACGATCTCTTTCCTCTTAAAAATTTAAACTGTAGCCTGTGAAATAGAATGACATGGAAACAGCAATTCCCTGAGAATCGGCAGGGAGCTCGGCGAGAACTGGAGCCGCTCCAGTTGAAACGAGTTCCGCACCTATGTTGCAGTTTCTCCTATTCTCACATAGCTGGCTATCATTTTAGAGCTGATGATTGGTGACATCACAAGCACCCAAGACCTGTCAGTTTTATGATAGGTGGTGTTAATTACCTTTCTCTCTGCAACTGATATTGTAGCATTTACAAATTTGGTGTTGAAAGACAAGACTCTGGGTTGAGCTTATTTTGTAGCATTGCAGGTCATCTCTAAAAGCTGGCCTGTTTCCCCCCACCCCACAAAATGATAGGAGGGAAAAATGGTGCTAGAGTGAGGTAGTATTTAGCATTTCGTAGTTCATGCTCAAGTGTAAAAAGCCCAACTGAATTCATTCATAAGGTTATTTTTCACTACTCTACTGAATTTCATTTTCCATTATATTATAGCATGAAAGCATTCACTGTTCACAAACTGTTACTGTGTGAAAACATCGCATACCACACACAGCCTCTCTGTTAGGATGAACCCTGTCCCCCAAAGAATCAGTGCCAGGTGTCATTGAGAGCCGAAAGTCAGTGTGACATTTTTTTGTTTGACTTATTCCTGATAGCAAAGAGTTAATGATGAATGAGTCATCTTTATTAAATAAATCAGAAGGTTACTTGGGAGGTTTATTATATTTTGTGTTTGTGTTATTTTTTCTTATGGGGCCGCATCTTTCCACTATTGATTTTTGTATCCTCTGGGAATGATTTAATTGCTGCTACCTTCTTCCTGATGGTGAGAGGATTGGGGCAGAAAGAAGCCTCAGCAGTTACCTGCAGTGCATTTCTTCATCATGCCTGGCTTGCTTGCTTCTAGGCCTAAATACCTATAGGGTGTGTGTGTGTGTGGGGCGGGGGGTACTCTGGATGTGTACCGATATTCAGCTTTCTCTCTTGTCCTAGCTTCGTAGCTTTAACATTTCCCACTACCTTCCCATGTAATGAATATTCCCCTTCCTTCAGAGAATCAAAGCCTGACTCTTTAGGACAAAGCAATGAGAACTAGTTCATGCCAGCATGAAAATGACTGATGGCCTTAACCTCCCCACATATATTTGCATCCTCCCTCCCTCAAATAATACGACGTCAGTCCTTCATTAATACAGCCCTTAAGATTACTATTACCTGGCCCAAATTTAAAAAATGTGAAACCTGAATGACAGTAGAAATTTGAATGTGGAGAACAACTGTGGGTAGCAAGGACCCAGCCCTTTGTGTAGATTTGAGGCCTGCCTTAGCTTCTCTAGGCTCTGCTGCCTTCTACCTCTGAAGCACAGCTTCCTGAAAACTTTAGAAATTCTCACCACATCTCTTTGGCTTCCAGGTCTGCATGCAGCCAACATGGGAACAGAGGTGGAAGCATCTCTTTTTTGAGCTGAGTCTTCATAGATAATCATACTCCACTTTGCTGAGAGGAAAGTTTTCCATTCTTGGTAATGGCTCTATTTTTAGAAAAGAAAAGTAGGAAATAAAGGTTGAATCGAAATAGGAAAGTTTCTCCTTTCTTGGACAATCTTCCCATTGCATTTATTCTAATTTTTTAATTTAAAGACTCTCTTGAGGGAGGCCCACAAAGGATCGGATCTTGGGAAGAACCACCAGTCCCGTTGAGAGGACCTAGGTGCCACCTTAGCAGGGCAGTCCAGCCCGTGTGAGCTGTCATTTTAAACACTTCAGTGGTCTTGCTAGCCTACTGAGGGATGAAGCATGTAGATTGGTCTGTATGGTCCAGTCATAGTGCTGGAAACAGCTGACTTTGGAAGGAAAAATGCCATGTGGCAGAATAGAAAACGCAGATCGTTGTGTTTCTATTAGAAAATTAAATCTACTTCTGAAAAGAACCTTGTTTTTACCCGCAGTGGATAAACCTCTTGAGATCGTTGCTGTCAAAATACCCAGCAAATGAAGTGCTTATTTGAGTCATTACTAAATGTTACAGCTTCACTTCTCCTAGAAATCAATTGGCCAAGATGAAAGGAAGATTTTTATATCATTTGGAAAAAGGGAAATGAATTATCGGTTGTGTGTGGGACTTGTTCATTCTCGATTGTAGCTTAACTGAACATAAAGGTGATTGTAGTTGAAAATTAGAATAGGGTGTTTTTTGGCAGCTAGGGAAGATGTAGACAAAGGGACAAAAAGAAGTAGACAAAGGGATTTAAATTTGAAATGCCTTGTACCTAGGGCAGAATTTGGTGAGAGGTTTCTCTGTTTTCCATCCAAGTGTATTTGTTAAGGAAGGTTTGGAGAGGTTTTTTACCATGAAGTGTTGGAGATGGTGTTTATACCTACCTTTAGCAATCTCATCTACTTTTTGATCCCATGTGAGTGTACAGGTTTCAATTGTTTAAAAATTTCTGAGCTATAAAGTGGGCTCACTAAGCAGCCTTCTTGATATTTCCTTTTGCTTTGTTCAGGACTTGTTCTGCGCGCTTGAATCTGGGTGGTAAAGGGACGAAGTTTTTCTTTTTTCTTTTTTTAGGCGAGGCAACCCTTGGTTGACCTCACAGATTACAAGGACCTTGTCAGTTTACAATCCCTTTTTTAAAATTTTTTAAGCCTACAGTACCTGGTCTACCTAGGTGGTCTCCCATCCAAGTGCTAACCAGGCCTGACCCTGCTTAGCTTCTGAGATCAGATGGTATTGGGCTTGTTCAGGGTAGCATGATCATAGACAAAGGGACTAAGTTTTAACAGGGTCCTTGTTGTAATTTTTGGCAACCAGAGGCTTAGCGTGGTGCCCAGTCGGTCTAATGGGATGATGCATTTTACACAAGGCATTGTGCAGTTTTTTAAAAATGGCCTCTTAGCTGAGACTGCCGATTTCTTCATTGTTGGGAACTGTTGTGATGAGGCTGCTCCACCTGTGAAAGGTATATGATGGGTTGTTTAGCTATAGATGTTGTCATAAGCTTTTGTTTTGTAGACTGCTTGGCTGAGGATTTGATTCTTCGTGAAACAAAGAGATGCTGTATATGATCTATTGTCAAAGGAGAAGAAAAAATATAAATTGGATCATACTGAAGATATTTCAGTCTTCGATCTAAGGCAGTTGAATCTCGGGTATTGCCTTGGAGTCATGAATTTCTGTTGTTGTCAAGGGCTCTCAATGTTGAAAGTATGGGAGACAAATATCAAACCTTTCATACACATGGCCTATCTGGAAAGCTGCCTCTAGTTTTAGCAGACTTATCTCACTTTAATATTCTGAAAAATTTTTTTACATACACTTGGTACAAAGGGATAGATAAATACAGAACAGCAAAAGGAGAGAAGAAAATGTGGCCTGTAATTTAGGTCAGTGGGCTGTTGGTAGTGGCGGTTAAAGAGAAATGGTCCTTCTGTTAATTGTCATTGAGGGAGCAATGAGGGCATTTATATTCCACGACTCATTGCTTTGGGCAAAACCCAGCCTACCAGTTGGGACTGAGCAGGTGGATCAATACAAATCAATGCCCACAGTTAAGGAGCCTGAATGGTCAACTGAATGTGGGCTATTAGTGCTGTTTTCCTAAAGAAAGGGCCTTGTTAGAAGGAGCAGCGCCATACCTGTGTGAGCTAAGCGAATTAACAGGGATAGGGATGACTGCGGTCATACAGCAGGTCAGGGAGAGATGGGGTCTGCAGGCTTCTTATAAAGAAGACAACTACTGTCACCCTGCAGGAACTCATGCCAGAGATTGCCAGAGCCTCTGATCTTTTAAGAGATGCCAGAAAGCCTGATTTCCATGTGAACTCTCCTAATCATTAAAACACATCTTGGCCCACGGGCTGCCAGTTTGCAATCCTTGGATAAGAAAGTATAGCTCTGGCTGTGGGTTTCTTAATAAGGAAACGTCTAACTTCCTTTTCTCCTTGTTTTGTCAGGCTTACTGGAAAGCAGCACTCGTCTAAAACCTCACGAAGCCCAGAACTACAGAAAGAAGGCGTTGTGGGTCTCCTGGTTCTCCATTATTGTGACACTGGCCCTGGCGGTGGCTGCCTTTAGTGAGTATCCAGAATCTTGCAGATTGATATGTGCTGGGGTAGCCTGTTTTATTCTGACTCCTGTGGGGTGTGCTTTTGCTTTTAGTTGACTATTATTGACGAGTACTTTTTTTTATGTGATTGGATAGTCAGAGTACTTATAAATTAGTAAAATGGCTTCTTTCCTCTGTGAAGGGAAGAGGTGGATAAGAAGAAACTGATATGAGGAGCCTTAGTTCTCATCAGTATGTGGATTTGTGGAAGTAGATTCCAGCTGCCAGCTGAATAGTGAAAATATTTTCTTGATGGATGCCTTCAGCTTGGGCTGACGTGCGACATATATTCTTGAGATTCGTGTTTTGAGCCTTAGTGCAACCAGATGAGTGTAATATTGCAGTAATCCTCTCCTTTTCCCTGATTGTATCTGTGTAAGGTTTGGAATAAAATGGGTGCTTATTTTTATGAGGAAAAATGAGAGAATCCTCTCAAGTTTTCAGTGGCCACAGAAACAAAAAATATTTATTACGATCAAGAAAAACTAGGGCAATTGAACACTTTCTGCCTATGGATAATCCCGTTCGGAGGTTAGGAATCTCTGTGACATGCGTTTTCTCAGCTAACATTTGCAGCCTATACAGTGTGCACGGGCTATTTATTCTTATTAATCATGCAATGATTCACAAGTTTCAGCAATGGCATTCAGCTTCAGCACAGACTTGGTAGAAACCAGTGAGGTTTTTTTCTTTCTTTCTTTCTTTCTTTTTTTTTTTTTTTATGCTGAGGAAAAGAGGAATGTATTTTGTGATTTGTTTATTACTTTAACAGAAAGATCTATATTCTAAGTGATAAGTGTCACACAAAGTGTCTCATGACAACCCTGAGGGTAGGAGAAAAAAGGACCGTGTGTGCTGGAAGATAGAGCTTGGTGTATGTTGTTTAAAATTCTGTTCTGTGCAGTTAGATCTGCTGCTGGAAGTTGGTATCGGCTTCCAAGAGGGAATATTAGAATTTGATCAAATGCTTCTGGCAAAACCGGGTATATATTACTTGAAGCAATTTATATTGGAAACAGTATGCCATATCTTGGCTCTCAAAAAAGCCAAACATTTAGAAGCAGAGGGTAATACATTTCAGGGTATAAACATTTACCAGTGAGCCAGAAATCTAATCAAGAGGAATTCTAATTCCTGAAAATAGCTGCTCCTTCCTCTCGCCTCTTTTTTTTTTCTTTTATGCTAAAACAAGAATAACAAGCGGATTGATGTCCCCAGAGGATAATTTGGTTGTGGTGGCTGTTGGCAGCTCCGGATCACACACCATAATTTACATATGTAAGGAAAGAGGAATGGAATGAAGGGAGGTGGTTTACAAACAGAGTAACAGTCACTCAGATGTGTCCCTGTGCCTAATAAAGCTGTTACCGCTTTATCCTGTGAGTGTTTGAATGGGGATCTGATTGTGAAGACATAGTGAGCAAGTCTTTCCTTTGGGAGACTAATACTACATTTGGTGTACTTAATCTCATAATAGGGAAAAATTATGGGGAAATTTTGGTTTCACATGTTACGCTTGATCACTTGGGTTATCTTGAAAATTTTGTTCCATTTCCTTAAATAAAAAAGAATGTTGTATAATGCATTTGGAATTAGAATTTGCTTTGTAAAGTTTTTTTTTGTCTTTTAAAAATGATTTTACCCCTTTATTGTAGCAAGTACTGACAACGAAAGAATGTCCAGCCTAAGAAAAAATCTTAGGAGTTTATTTGAGCCCAACTGACATTTGCCGGGAAGCAAAATCTCAAGGGATTGAAAAAATGCTCTGGAGAATGGCAGTATTACAGTTTATTTTATACCTTAATATCAAAGAAGGAATGTAAGGAGGGTTGCATGAGATTCATTGATGGTAGATTAGTGAGGGGAGAAAACAAGCAGGGTGAATCTCTGAAATTGGATAAAAAATAAAATGGAGAGATGCGTACTTCTTTTACAGGGGAGGGTACAGAGTAATTAACATTTATAGCATGTAGAGATGGTGTGCATGCAACAAGATAACAATGAGGAGTCTGTGGTCTCATGTCCTGGTGGGAGGTTGTGCTCTGAGGGCTCTGGAAAAGGTGATTACTCTGATATTTCAAAGGTATATTATTTTAGATGCAAAAAGACAATAGACAGGCTCACCAAAGGTGTAAGATTGGCCTTTGTGGAGAAAGCTACAGGCCTAGATGTGACTACCCGACTAGACTCATGTTTAGTTGGGAATTTTTATGTTTAGACCCTCCTTCGTGGTTACTTTCAAGTCTCTGAGTTTGTAAGGCCCGCCAGGCAGACTTCCCCTGAGCTTGTCAGGTTTAGTATGTGGCCCTTCTTTTTCATTCACAGTATTTAAGTCTAATCCTCTAACTTCTTACCTCTAAAATGTTGGCATTGGCATATAATATCATGATCTTAGTTGTTTTCTGTAGTATATTCAGTTTGTTCCAAAGTTGCTTTAAACTTAGTTAAACCAAAAAATGTAGATGAACTATATTTTCCTCCACTTTAACTATATAGAATAGCTTTATAGTGTGTGTGTGTATTTCGTATTTTAAACTCTTGGGGTGGTCTTTGGTTAGGGTGTGGTTAGGGTTGTTGGTTTTGCCCTTTAGTTTTCTAAATGTATTTGTAATATGAAATACTCAAAATCCTTTGAAAACATCAGTTCCATGTTGACACAGTTTTGTGAAATCCTTTTCGTAGTTTTGAATGGAAGGAAAATCAATAAGGATTAAGTAATATAAGCTGACTTTTGAAGTTATGTTTAAATTATGATCTAAAGGAAACTTGTATGTTTCAGAAATAGCAAATGTATTTTTGAAAAAGTGTCAGAAGGAGCCCTAGTCTTATTCTCTGAGGAGGTGGTTGACAGGAAGATGGGACGAAATGGAATAGTCTGTCCTAGCCAATGAAATGGTCAGTCGACTCAGTGTTTTTAAAAGGAATTGCCATGGAATTACAACATGTGATGTTTGGCATGGCAGAGAAGTCTTTGGAGTGTGTGTGTGAGTGCGCACACGTGCGTGCATGTGTTGCCAGAGGGTGATAATCATGGCAAAGAGAAGGCCATATTTGTTGTCACGTTTTCTTGGCACCGCTGGATGGTTTACCATCCCTTTGGGGTCAGGAAGAGCATGTAGTACTCAAGATTGTTAGATTAGTTAACAGACATTTAAAAAACCTTTTTAAAAACAATTTTTTTTTTTAAATTAGGTGGAAGGGAAATCTTTTCTTGGAAAAAATTTCTTAGAAATAAATTTCAGCTAAAGTTTTGTTTAGATACTGTTATCGAACCCCAGTGTGTGAGTCCGTCCGCCTGCATGCATTGGATGAGAGATGAATGAGCAAGAGCTTATAGTGGAGAAGAGAATTTTTTGAGATTGACGTCAATCTGGAGTTCGGGTGAGCCCGCGTTCTAAAAGACTGAGCTCCCCTATGGCAGGTAACTAACAGGTTATATGGAGCCCAATCACCAGACACCTGTGGATGAAGAGTTTGGGGGTTATGTTAGGAGCTGACTGGTCAGAGGTGAGGTAACGGTAGTAAATCATTTCTTTAGGTCTTGAAGACAGCTCTGAGGTGAGCTCCCACATTCCTCTGTCTGGTTTCTTGGAGAAGGAGCCCGGGGAGTCATTCTACCTTAGGGCTCAGGAGCTGCCAGAGGCTCAAACTTTGTAACCATGAGTCAGGACCTGGTTTGTCCTTTTCTGCTGTCTTAGGGGTTAGGGATTATTAAGGGGAAAGGCTAAGGTCTTTGAGATGTACAGAGGAAAAAAATGGTTTTTAAAAATAAGAGTACAAATCATATCAAAATTACGAGGGCCCTTGGTTTCAATACCAGGCTTAGGTTTCTTTTATTTTATAAACAGTTGAAATGTTTTTGAGACAGTGGGATCATCCTATGGCCATTCTCTTGCTGGGGCGGTGTCTTGGGATCATTCAGACTTCCTGCTTTATCTCCTCACCTGCCATTTTCTCTTTAATCACAGATGCTAATTTTTAGCTGAACATATTCTGAAGAAATGCTTTTGTCTCTTTTGTGTTAGAAATGAAGATTATGGATATGTATAAGCTTTGGAGACACCTCTTTTTTCACTCAGATAGAAAGCTGTCATATTTTAACACAGTGTGTACATTGCAAGTAAAGTTTGTTACCCTTCACTTTATATAAGCTGTGTCTTCTCAGATTAGTCGTTTTTAAAAGACCTAATGATAAAACTAGCTTATTCGGTATTACGGAGTTATAAATCAGTATGTGTGTAACTGTGGTTGATATTTGCCTGTCTGGCATAGTTGAGAAAATTAGGTGAAATCTCAAAGTTTGTGACTTGAAAGTATTTTGAAAGGAATATCTGCTTTGAAAGGAATATAAACTAGTTTTGCTATTACTTGGTAATAGAGTGATTTTGGGCCTGTCCAAATGCTGATATAAAACCAGATGGTAATACATCTTGAATATTTCAGAGAGAGCCCAAGTTTGGTTTTAAAATTCATTCTGTTTATAATTGGTAGGCAGCATGGAAAATGGCAATCTTGTTATGAACAAACCTTAAAAAATATGTTTTAATAATGAGGCTGGAAAGAGAACAGAAGTTCTGTTTCAAAACTCAGGGTTTTGACATCATTAATGTCTTTGTTAGAATGATTTAGGAAAATGCATTCTGGCTCATTTTGAGGTTTGAATGAGTGTGTGGAGGAGGAAAAAGTTTCCTTTACCTTTCAGAGTTCTTCTGGCTGCTCTAATAATCAAATTCACATAAGATAGATTAGCTGGAGAAAAACATTAAAATTTAATAACATGTATACCTCCTGTGTACGTGCAAGAGACCCAGGAACACGCAGTAACTCGAAAGCCATCACCTTAAAGACCGCTGTCAGCTAAAGACTGAAGAAGGTGTTGAGGATGGGGAATCAGTTATGGCAGATTAACATAAGCACAGGAAACAAGGGTAAGATTGTATGCAGATCTAAATCTAAGCCTTCTCCATT